TTTCTTTGCTTGATTGATCTTGTGGACGCGGACGTGGTGGACCTGGACCTGATAAGTGAGCCCAATGAACTTTTATGTGCCATTTCTTTCAACACTCTCCTATCAGATTCGACCCGTTCATAAGAACTGCCAACCCGACCCGTTTCGCAGAACCGCCTCACGTCTCACGGTCTCTGTCTGGTAACGAACAGGCCACGCCTGTCTGCTTTAATACTCGGCTATATATTTTATTTTCCTTTTGGCTCTCGCACCATTGGCACCCTCCCAAATCGAGGAAGAAGATGAGTGCCGTAGAACCTGACATGGAAGATCTGTTCCAGGAGAAGAAGCGTGTCAGGAATCCTCTCGTTCCTCTCGGTTCGCATCTACCTTTTCCTCTTTCTTTTGATCGAAAATTCTTCTTCTAGGCTTCAAATGAGGTTTACCAATTGTTGGTTTTAGTTTCTGGGTTTTGGTTTTTATGTAGCCGATCCCTGAACATAATCACTTGTTCTCTTTGATTCGTAATCAGAATCATGGGATTTTTACATATTTGGATCCGGTCCCAGAATCCCATAAGTTTTCAAATGGAGTCGAATCTTGTTCCTCAACAATTGTGGGTTTTGTTACAACTCTGTGTCGGTGTGTTGTACCAGAGTTTCTCTTTTTGCAGCATATAGCTACCTTAAACGGAATCAATAGATTTGTGTATTGGATTAAAAACTGAGAGGAATTGCGGAAATGGTTCAGATTGTATTATAGACTTTGTGCATAATAGATAGTATATATGCTCTACTCTTGTCTTGGTCAATACTGTTGTTAGCTGATAATTCCTTGCAGGTGCACTTATGACTGCGGGAGTGCTCACGGCTGGGCTGATTAGTTTCAGAAGAGGCAATTCTCAGTTGGGTCAGGTTTTGATGAGAGCTAGGGTGGTTGTCCAGGGTGCTACGGTCGCGTTAATGGTTGGTACCGCCTATTACTACGGTGATAATCCCTGGAAGAAATGAGCTCTGCTATTACTTGTTCGTTAAAACGTTTTCACATAAATGGGATGACACTGAGGGGATTACCGAGTAGAGGTATGTTCCGAGTGTAGAAGTCTGCGGTATCCTAGATTTTATAACTTGTAAGGGCACACATTACATGATTTGAATAATCGAGAAGTGAGAACTGAAAAGTGTGGTTGTATCTTCATCAATTGATTTTATTCATTTGAGGAAATTCTTAGAAAATCATATTTACTCTTTATATGCCAAGATCTGGATAATCTTTCAGCCGACAATCTTACACTTATGCTTACACTTATGCTTGAGTTTTGACTTCTTGAAAGCTCCTTTGTGAAACATGGGACAATGAATCATCACAAAAAGTATTTGCATAGACTCTGTTTTCAAGATATATTATATAGCAATAGTGGGAGTGGAGAGATTATGAATTAGAAGGCAAGCCATGTCTAATGATGCAAGGACATCAAAGTGGAAGACAATGGTGGGACTATAGAATTTTGTTTTCCATGTGTGAAGTTTCTTAATCATATTCTTGTTTTTTTTTTTAATACGGTTCTTGACCTTCTAAATGTGAAACTCTAATCACAATTATTGTCTTTTTAGCTAGTAATAATGATTATGGTTTAGCTAATAATTATGTCACTAACACGTAAAGAGGGGAACAATGAGAAGCTTTTGAAATGATACACTTTTTAAGCGTGTCTTGATGTGTGAAATCTCTATAACATCTTTCTTATCTCATGACTTTATAATTTACAGAAACTGATCACTAAGCTAAACTCAAACAACTGTTTTTTTACTCTTCAAACACCAAAATGTGTAGGATGCTTTTGTCTGAAATCCATGAAACAGAAGCTCTTTCACCTAAATCTTCATCTGCAGCAACCATAACACTTCTGAACCAGAAAGATCCATCTTCAAGCTCTACAATCTCTGTTATATGTTTAGTTATCTCTGTTCTTGCTCTTATCATCGTCTTCCTCGGTATCATTCACTTAATTTTCAAATTTCTCAGAAAGTCCCCGACTTTGTTTCAATTTCGCGACTTCGACTCCAACTCCAACTCGGATCTCTCTTCTTTCTCCTCCCCTCAGCTCCAACACCTCTTCGTCCTCCACGACTCTGGTTTAGGCCAGACCGCCATCGATGCACTTCCTGTGTTCCTTTATGGTGACGTAACCATGAGTCTGAAAGAGCCATTCGATTGCGCCGTATGTCTAAGCGAGTTCTCGGACTCGGACAAGCTCAGGCTACTCCCTGTTTGTAGCCACGCCTTCCATCTTCACTGTATCGATACGTGGCTTCTCTCAAACTCTAATTGCCCTCTTTGCAGACGATCACTCTCAGCCTCAAACGACGCGGAGACTCGTATCTTCCCCTTGTCTGATCATCAACATGTCGACGAAGGCAAAGCCTCTCTTTCGAAAAGAGTCTTCTCAGTTCGTCTTGGGAGATTCAGAAGCACAAACGAAGGTCAAAGTCAACGGTATGAAGTCAAAGGTGAAATTGGGGTGGGAGTTCCACGAAGGTGTTACTCGATGGGCACACGGAAGTATCTTGAATGTGATCAAGATTTTGTGGTGTCTTTGTCTTCTCGCGAGGGCAAAACAAGTAATAACTGCTCTGGTCACGAGGGTAAATCGGTCAAACAAGACTC